AACCACTTCAATCATTTCGAATCTTTTCTCTTTCGAATTGTTTCGATGCTATTGAAGGGTCAGAAATTAAATGCAAATATTATGATACTTTTATTTTGTTTTATGATTTGCAAAATATAATTTGTGGGCTGAATATAACATTTGTACGTGACCATTTTTTTTTTTTTGAAAATGAATGTTGTTGAAAAATTTCATTTTGGGTGAGTGTATGAAAGAAGAAAAAAACGCATCAACTTGATCAAATATGGCCCTGAGCATTTTAATGAACCAAGAAAAAATGAAAGAAACAGTGTCTGATTGTATCTTGTGTATTTTTGGATTTCATTTCGAATTCCTACACATTTTACCGTACTACACAGCACAAAAAGTGTCTATATGAAGAAATAGACGAAATTCAGCATATAATATATATACATTTTTTTTGGTATGTGTGTATATATGTCGAAACGAGCGCACATTATAATTGTCAAATTTGCTTTTGGGCTAGTAAATGTGTCAAACATTGCACATTGTCTCTCGTATTGAGTGAGGTTATTGACTGTTCATGTTCATTGGCGAAAATTGTGAATTTTCTGGTTTTAAAACGACAACATGACTGAATGGAACCAAAAGTTGTGCGCTAACGAAATCACAAAATAAAATAAAACATCAAATCCAACTGCCACTGCTGCACGCATTGTCATGTGGTTCTTTTTTTCCTCTTCTCTTTCTCTTGCTGGCGTTGTTGTTGTTGCTGTCGTCATTACGCGAATGCAAAAAATGGCCAGTGTACAACAACCGAGGGTTGCGACGGTGCTAGTAGTGAATTGTTTACGTTAGGCCCGGTTTGTATGTTTGGTGTGAATTTGCATCGGCGTGCATATTTGATGTTTTCGATCACTTTTACACTTGCATGCAAATTAAATGCAATAAACGATATTGTTTCCATTCCATAATTATTACACCACACTGTGCGCGCGACTCAGTGCCTTTGTGTACGCTGCTAACACAGAAAAATTTATATCGATGACTTGGGGCACACAGCATGCAATCGATGCCGATCAATTTGAGCGGACGATTTTGACCACACGTTATATATATATATGTGTGTGTTCGTTTGGCGTGCGCATACAATTGTCAGCGGCTTAAACAGGCTCGAATTTGTTTGATGTTATTTTTTTTTCGTTTTTGTTCAGTTTTTGTTTCGTTTCTTTCGACCAAAGCGTTTCTTTCAACTCGTACACGACAACGGTTCAATGACTTGCTTGGAAAACAAATCAGTTGTGTAATTATTCCGTACTCGACCTGTATTTGTACGCTTAATGCATATTTTATTGTGATGCTTGTTTAGCAAAATTTATCGCTTTGTTTAATTTGGATTGTTGTTGCGTTTTCCTTTGAAAATGTTACTATGCACACATTGAGAACAAGAAAGAGACAGAGTGTGAAAAATACATAACAGCTACAAACATCAATATCAACATCAATACACTCAATAAAATCAAATTGAGTGCAGATATTTGTCAAGAAATTATTATTTATAAAAAAAAAACAAATATTAAAAAGCGATTTAATCAATAAATTGCTGAAATTCATAAATACGTCGAATATTATTGTCTCGTGCACAATGCACGGCATTATGTACATTTTGCTTTTAAATCTTAATTCAACAAATAAATCGTTGATTGGATTTTTTCGGAAAATGTTTCAATTGGTTTGTGTTCCAAATGCAAAATTCGGTCAATTGACCCTCCGGTTGGTAAATATCCGTTAAATTTGGTATTTCAATAAAAATTGATAGACGAAATTCGTATGTGTACGCGAACATGTTCATTATCAATCTTTTTCAAATGTATAGAAAGTGGGTTCTTCTTCCTCTTACGGAATAAATTCATAAATAGTAGTAGTAGGTTTACGTTATGCAATTTTCACAACAAATCAAATGATCACATTGAATTAAATGAAGATCTCTCTAACATTCTCTCTTTGACAGCGGACCGAATCCGTTCCAGTTTTTATTCCTACAACTTTCAATGGTCAATTTAAATCATTGTGTGTATGTAGAATTTGTTGGAAATTAGGTTGATTGCATCAATGCCGTTCTCAAAGCCACAACGTATATGCAAAGGACGACGTGAGCCAATGAAATCTTACAATGGAAGGTATACGCAATTTCATGCATTTCGAAACTGCCGAAATTGAAATTTTGGTCAATTTCTCGCAAACGATTTAATTGCCAATAAAAAAAACTACACACACAACAAACAGCAACAATTTATAGTTGCCGACTTTTGCACGCAAATAATACTATGCCCAAAAGTATCTCTTGCTCTCTCTTTCTTTCTTTCGAATAGAAAAGAAAAAAAATAGCGTAACGTAAAATTTCAAAAAATATGTACAATTCACGAACTGAAGACGAATAAATAAAATAACGTTATATAAACTATCCGAAAAAACTTTAAAAAATCATTACTTTCCAAACGGATTGAGTTGTACAAGTCAAATCAGTTACATGCAAATGAAAAAAAGAGAGAGAAAAAAAACTGGCTCACGCATCAACTTAACGTAAAAAATGCGACTCCAAAAATAAAATAAAAAAATGGAAATGAAAAAAAAAAATCTTTAAAAAAGCAATCAAAAATAAATAATGCGTATGTGAGTGAGAAAAAGAGTCAAGAGCTCACATATTTTAATGTGGTTAAAAAGAAATCCTAACATTTGTTATTTGATTATAAGATGGGCTATATCTACTGCGTACGCTTTTCTTGTTGCCACACGCACATTTCGCTTACTTTCTAGTCTCTTCGCCAACATTTTTTCTTTGCTGTTTCGCGACAGAATGAACGAACGAAGAAAAGAAAAAAAAGTAGAAAGGGGCTGAGAAAAAGAAATGAAGTGAAATAAAAAAAAAATGACCGATGTACCGCCGAATATAATTGAGGTAACACGTTTATTGTTCAATCAATCCAATTTAGATGGTTACTCTCTGACGAAACAACCGTTGCCATCGTTTCAAAAGCTCCGTTCATTTTTCAATCTGCGAACTCACTACGATTACGTATTACGCGTAACTGTTGTGGTAAATCATTGTGTGGTGACCACAGTACAATGTAAAAAAAACGCATGCCTAAAAAACGATCATAAATCTGGCTACTACAATTCCATGAACACATCAGGACATTATTTGTTCTTCAGTTCGTTTTATGTTTTAGTTGTAACAGTGTGCCAATTCAATAACCTTATGGAACGCATTGCATCGCGAATAATTACATTGTGGTTATGCTTTCTTTTTGTGATGCGAATGTGCATGACCAACAAAAAGTAGGTGTTAAAATCAATGTGCCACATCCCTCCCATCTTGTCATCAGGCACAGTGCACAACATCTCAATACGTCTCTTGTATAACGGAATAAAACAATATCCACGACTATAAACATTCGAACCATCTCCGAAAAATTCGAACATATTTCTTCATTCTTCTTGACTACCCGTCTTCTTAGTCGCATACATTTTTCATGCATTACATTGGAAATTCGTTCGTAAAATACACGATATATTGGTTCGTTTTGTCGTTTATTTTTTTTTCTTTTTTTTTTGGTCGTTTGATGTTCTTCTTTCAATGTCATTTTTGGAACGAGACAACAAGAATATAGCATATGCCTTTAAATAAAAATTTATAATTATAAATATACGCGAACAGGAACCAAAGAAAGCATAAAAATAAACATAAGACGTACAACAACAACAATGAATGCTACTGACGACGGCCAGAGAAATTACACGCAAAAAATGCCCAATTCAATTTTCGAACGGAATCACCGACAACAAAAAAAAATGTACACACAAACAGAACGTACAATAAAATCGCAAAATTTGACGACAACCTTTTCTGAAATAAAAAAAAGAATAGCCCACTGCTCATTTTAGGCTAGTTTGTTCTGTTGTTTCTGTTGTTCTTGTTCTTGTGTCTTCTGTTCTGCTCGATGGCGTCTCCTTAAGAAATGTCTCGCTTTTTTGGCTGACCCAGTAAGAAAAACCAGAATTTCAATTTTCAAAAAAAGAAACGTTTTAAACTGAAAAGCAATCCACAGACCACTTCAACTGTACGTTCTTATTCTTTTTGCATTTATTAGCCTTTCCCCATATGTAATAAATTAATGGAGTCGTTTTGTTTTATGACACATTTCTGTTCTTTTCTCACAAGAAACAAAAAAGGCAAATCAGTTATAAGAAATAAACGAAAATCATTTTGAACTTTCTATTGCGTGATTTATGTAATACAACTTTCTGTTGTTAGTCTCATTATCTCAAGAGAATTGCACCGGTCATACAGCTTTTATTCAATCGATTCCGAAAAGTTTTTCGATTCGTTTAAACGAATTAGTTGCTAATCATGAATAATGCATATTACTACATCGATTTCACGCGATCAATAAATCGATCACACACACACACACGCATATACACAATTTAATCAAAATGTTCAGTAATCTATCTCCAAACTGTGTATAACGGAAACTATTGCGGTGATAGAGAAAGAGCTGTCTTAATCATATAATACATGACACACGCAATCGAAGCCTAACCTATCAATCTCTTTTTTTTTTCATTCGCATATATGATTAATCTTTTCACGCCGATAAACAAAGTAAACGCACGCTTATATGTACCTGAAAGGCAAAGGAAAATGGCAAAACGATAATATTAACGATAAAAAATTTTACCGTTTTTTTTTTCTCCAATTTCGGGGTCTTTCGTTTTTGAACTCTATTAATCGTAAGTTCGGCATCTAATCTACTATCACGAATTTATGCGTGTATCTAAAAAAAAGATCGCTGATCAGCTGGTAATTTACATGATACAACCGAATAAATCTCACTCAACGAAAATGAACTAACTGTATTTCTTCTATTCTTGTTTTGGTTTTTTGTGTGCATGTGTGTTTTTTTTTCGTCTCGAATGGGTGCACCAATTCTAGGATCAAAAGTGACAAAAATGAGAAATTATTAAAAATCACTTACTCAACATTATTATTGGCATGATCTTCGAGCTCCTGTTCATCGGGTCTTAAAATGATACGATATACTTCGCCCGAATAGCTGTCACCGTTCTTTGATGCAAATGAAACTTCCAGTTTCGGCTTGTAAATGCCAAATGGCTTCACTAGTTCGCGTACAACACGATTCACTGTTGGACGAAGCGTTTTGGAGTCACTCATTTTGTCCTCAGTTTATTCGAATTTTGAAGGGAAAAAAATTTGATTTTTTTTTATCAAATATTTTCGGGTATGCGATACGCACGTCGGTTTTTCTTTGAAAATCTATTTGAAATTGCTTTTTTTCACAACAGGCGAATTAACAACGATCGTATTAATTATTGAATATGCATCAATTTTGTTATGTTAATTGGAAATTAGTACGAATTTTGTTTGACCTTTTTACGTTATTACTGAATACATAGTTTAAATTATATTACATTTAGCCATTGATATCACAGCTTTTGTGTCGTAAAAAGTGTTTTTTTTGTGTGTTTTCAAATGATCACGGTTCCGTGAAAAAAATATTTCAATTGGCCAGTTTAATTTTTGAGTTATAATTTGATGTTTAAAACTAAATCAATTCAATTTATTTATTTTCTTTGGTTCTCGATCGATTTTCTGCACTGATTTATTTTTAACGTAAAATTCGTGTCTTTGACGTTGGAATTATTATTTAAATGCTTTATTGAATTTTTCATCACACTGTAAAATTCTCTGCGGAGCTGTCTTTGATTCGAATTCATCAACGTTTGCCAATGGTTCATCTGGTAAACTTGAACTTTTTAATAATTTTTCTTTCTGCTTGTCTCGAGAGTCCATCGACTTCTTGCGAGATTTAAAATACGAGATCGGCTTTTGATGTGTCCTCAAAAAAAATATTTTTTTCTCGTTAAATTTTAGTTCATACTTCACAAATATTCACTCACTATCTTTTTTTTTTGTTTAAAGATACGAAAAAGCGAAGAAATATGTTTTTTCGTATTTTTTTTTTAAATTGTTCTTGTACAAAATTATATATTTAATTTTGATTAGTTTAGTTTTTATGGGTTTTATCACAAATTTTTGTTTTAGCGAGATTTTTGACCGAAAGCGTTATTTAATTTATTGATTAAAGTTTATTAAAAAAAAAATTGGAACCAAATGTTGACATGAAATCCCTTAAATTTGTTAAAACTTTATTAGTAATTTATTTTTACTCGATCAATTTGAATCTGTTTAAAAAAAAATTCGATTGAATTTGCTCTGTTGCGTACACACTGAATTCGACGAAGTAAAAAGCTTTCTTGTTATAAGAAAAAAAAATTGTCACAAAATAAATGGAGCTGCGTAATTACACGTTCGTTCCAGTGTGTTGACTTCACACAACTGACTTAGCGCACAGATATCTATTTGATTTTGTTCGAAACGAAAAGAGACTTTAAGGCTGATTTCGCTGCTCAATCGAACTCGGTGTATGCTCGGTTGTATTATGTGTATATTTTATTTCTCTCGTATCTTTGCTGCGCTCGCTTCGATTTGGATCGATGTTTTACCTTTGATAATGTGCTTGGTTCTAGCTTAAATTCGGTGAAAGTTTCGCGTTTTATATTTATATATGCGCCACACGCAGAATATATGCATACGATTCGACTACCATATAGTCATACATACAGACCGATCGTCGAGGCTGTTCAGTCCCCGTTTGTTGGTTGCGATCGTTCCGAGGTTGTTTGGTGATCGGATGCGTGCATACGTTTATGCGGCAACCATGAGCACACTAAAATACGCTAATATCAACAATAATATACATATATATATATACTATATGTGAAAAGTCAACACGTAACGTAACGTTTTACAGGAACGATCAATGCGGATCGAAAATCTTTTGAGAGAAACAAAAATGCGGTGCTGATAGTGGGCGCATAAAATGCAAGTGCTTCACTAACAAAGACACATTGAGGCATTCGGTATATTTTGTTTACATGTGACGCCGTTCATCGGTGCATCATTTTTTCGTTGTTGTTGTTTCTTTTTTTTTTGTTTTCGTTTGATGCGGCCACGGTGAGTGCGAACCCTCAATGAGTGCGCATTGATCGTATGCCTCATGCAACTTAATGGTTGTAGTAAAATTCATTCACACTTCTCAGTGTGCCAAGAGAATAAATTCTGAGCACATGTTGATGTGGTTGCGTCGTCATTTTGCTAGTGTGAACGTCGCCGTTATCATCATTAACGATGATTGGTAGCAATCAGCGATGATGATTATGATCATTAAGCGTTCAATAAACGGTCTTTTTCGGTTTCAAAGTTGATCATTGCGAGTGCGTCGATGATTGTGCCGCAACGATTCTGATTCAAATACACATCAACACATTAAAACGGCACGATGGATAAACCTGTTGCGTTTGGTTTGCTGACGGATGATTTGTATTCCGCATGCAGTTCAGTGCGTTTTTTCATATAACTTTACTTATGCCGTTTGATTGACGCAATCAATGTCTGAACCAAAAACATCAGAAATATGCTCAGTCCAGTTAGTGTTGTCTGAATGAAAACACATGGACTTTTGGGTCTTTGCCATATGCTTGAATCATTATACATTTTTTTTTGTTTTCGGTTTCTGTTGCATGCGTGTGGGTCTTGAGGCGATAACCGATAAAAATTCGACTTAGTGACTCAGTGACTGATATGTGAAAACAATGTCTGTTGGTACTTTGAAACATTTTTTTTGTTCATTTTCTGATAAACTTTGAAACATATTCCATAATGTGACCAAAATCAACGTAAATATTTACATTTAGCATTGAAAGTAAACATTTTGTTTTGTCGCTGCTGAAGTAAATGAATCATTGAACACCGGTCAATGCCAAATTTGCCATTTGTTTCTTTTATTTATTTTAATTTCATGTCTCTGTTTCTCGTCCATTTACTGTACGCTTAGATTCATCACCAAGTCGCGATCATTGCGAATGTGTTCATTTCATTTAATTTGGAACAAAAATCAAGCAATGACGGCCAATGTGTGATATAAAATAAGAGGGAAAAAAGAGATTAAATATATAATATACTGCATTTCGTATGAAGAGAAAGAAAAGCAAAGAGAAAAAAGAACAAATCGTTATGATATCTCTCGTGTACGAGCGCATATGCGCGCGCCCGCACTGCTTTTGTACGCAATGTGAGATGTTAAAAACACAAGGAATATAACATGGGCGCCAAATGGCAAATACATAACAATAATAAACATTACAAATACCGCGAACGAAGTCAAAATAATAAAAACAATGTAAAAATATTCAAGTTCAATGTCAATGTACGTGTATGCTTCTATCATGACGGCTTCGCTAACAAATTGATTTCAACAGTCAAATGCACACACAAATACACACATTCAATCATTCGCTCTTTTTCCTTGTTTTTATTTTCATTTTTACATATATATATATACATGCGGCGTATTATTTCTCTTTCTCATTCTCGTTCTCTGGCTCTATGTATATATATGTGTGTATGTGATCGTTGTGTGTTTTTTTCATTGCCGTTTTCGGTTATTTCCTTTCATACGCTTCTCAATTAATTTTGAAATATAATGTACATTTGCTTATTAATGCTTCTTTTCGCCTGCGATCATTTAAAAAAAAAAAAAATGTTTCTATATCACCAAGACAAAACCGCCGAGAAACACATACGCATCTACAACGACGACAACAACAATAACAAATGAACAACTGCACGACACAGCACAAATATTTATAATTCCTTATTCTTAGAATGCCGATGAAAAAAGAAAGAATTCTTTCTACAGCGTGATTCGAAATGGAAATAAAAAGGCAAAAAGGAACAGACAAATAATCCGAAGAGAATAATTTTCAAGAGCCAAAGTGCTATGTTATATCGTCATATATGGTGAGTCAAAGGAAAGACAGACGATCCAAAGGCAAAATCAATGGAATTTCGATAGAACAAAATAAAAACAGAAAAAAAACCGATCATCCAACATACAAAACATCGAACAGCAATAAAACAACACTGAAAAATACACTTTTTCTCTTCCTCGGAAAAGAAAAAATAAAATAAATATATAATAAAAAAAAGGTAAATTGTGATAGTATCGGTGTGCATTGGAGCAGATGCTATATGCCCATTGCGTTCGATGTGTTCAATAATAGAGGTGAGCGCGCACACGCGGTTAGTGAACGAGAGTACTCAATGCAATCAAATAGAATATTGCGCAAATAGTCATAAAATACAGCACACTCTCATACAATCGATAAATAGCGAAAAAAAGAACCGTCCATGCGAAGAGGATACACAAGTGAAAATGCCGAAGAATGAAATCAAAAGTACAAAGTGTGAATGGCAGAATGAAAATGTGCGTCTTTTTGTTTGTTATTGCTGTTCATTTTTTTTGTTCTTTCTTTTTTTCTCTTTTCTCGAATCATTTGTCGAGTTGGACAGTTTGTGCGATCGGATATTGAATTCACCTTCGATGTTGCGAATGACTAATGAAGATGTCTTCAATTTGAAAATATGCTATATAGTCAAAGTAGAAAAATGTCACTTTTTTATTTAAAAAAAAAAGAAGACTAGGAAAGCATGTAATAAAGAGTTCATTGCCTTCGCTCAATCGATGCAGCGTTCATTGTCCCGAACGTACGATCACCTTTTAATTTTTATCTTCATTCAATACCGGCTTATTTACACAATTTATTTTGTTCTTCTGAAGAAAATCGTACACACCATTTGATCAACAGAACTCACACACATTCAATAAAATATGATATCTTTTATTCAGCTGTTGCGTTTTATCCTTAAAAATAAATGAAATTTATTGAACGATTTCCCGGAAAAATTCACATTTTGACGCAAGTAACAATACAATGAAGAAAAAAAATACGTGTATCCGATTCATAGGAAACCCGAGAACGCCAGGTGAACAATCATAAAATGGAAAGATTCTAACAAATTATCACAATATAATAATCATTGGATTCGATCAGCGGTATTTTGCATGTCCTTTTCATCATTTCAACTGGAATTTCATTTCATTCATTCAATTTATATACCACTATTGAAACCGACAAAAACAAATCCAAACTATTTCCAAGAAATCCTTTTCTCGATTGCTCAGTGAGCACCTTTCCGGCTCAAAGTTCTTATTCGGACGATAATTAAATTATAAGACGAACATCAACGATTTCTTCTAGGAATTTCCAAATAGACAATGTCAAATACCAAATCACCGAACAAAACAAACAAATCTTTGACGATATATCGACTATATTTACGGCGTCAAGGTGGCGATGGTTCATTTATCAATCAGTTCTATATGTTGAACAAACTTTCTAAAAACCGCCAAGTTTCAAATAGAAATCCATCGGACTTGCTTGAAATAAGAAACCGTAGAGACAAGGTGACAGGATTTCCACAAATTCTAGAAAACAGCACATTTAATCAAGTCCATGATCAAATACGCCTTACATACATGCGCTTCGCTCACTTCGTATGCACAAATAGAAGAATCAAGAAGGTAATTTATTGTTTACATCTTTTGCCATAAGATACGAAACGAAATTTTCTATGATTTGTGCGCATGCAACGTCATTAGAATCAACGCAGAAAAGAAATGGGCGAAAAGGTAAGAGCGACGACCACATAGAAGAGAGAGAAAAAAAAACACTAACAGAGAAAAGAAAAAAACAACACATCAAACGCATCGTGATCGCATACACTTTCTTATGAATATTGTAAACAATTGGAAAGAAAGCAAATATTGTTGCTTGAGAACGTTGCGCTCTGACCCACTTTTTGTGCTAGCAGGAAATTTCTCTAATTTAAGATCGGTTTTGTTTTGCTGCTGCTGTTGTTGTTGTTATTTTATGCTCATTTTTTTTTCTCTGGTGATTTTCTTTACTTTTCCCTCTCAAGATCTCTCAACAGATTTTGTCGATGGTGTGCAAATGTGGTAGAGCGAGCGAGAACTCGCAAACACACACCATTGGAAAAAGATTTACGCGATGCCTCGTTTAAATGTTGCATTACAAAGGTAATAGTTATTTAAATGACTATCTCATACATACTTATCATTTTCGTGTAGAAGCACTGCAAAAAAAAATGCAGCAGCAGCAACAACATCAGTCAAGACTTTCATGCTGTAGTTTCTGCTGCATCCCATGAAGCGAGCCCATCAAACGGTCTTATACATGAATTCCATTTCTTGTACTTGCATTGCGCACACACATCGGATTACTCACATAGATTAGAAATTTAGAAAAGACGTTTAGAAATTAGAAATTTTTCGTTTCGGAGTGTGTTGTTGTTGTTGCAGTTTTATTTTTTGTTTTGTTTTCTTTTGCATCAAATGCATTTTCTTTTAGAAAATTTCATGTTTCGTTTGTGTGCATGTGAAAATATTGACTAGTTGATGGATCAATACACAGATTGATGATGTGTGAGAATGAACAAGAGGTCGGAGCAGCGAGAAGAAGTACATTCAAAATTGGAAA